AGAATAATGGCACAATAATCCAATTTACCTAATAGGCTGGAAGCAAAATTCTAATGGAATTGTGTAGAAAACTTAGAATTCCTTTCTGCTAACATTGTTCCCATTAGCTTTGACTTGCTATCTCTTTTCTGGCCCTTCATCCTTGCCCTCTTTTTTGGGGGTGGAGAACCTTAGCTTGGTTTTTGTAAGACCCAATGCTGTTCAATAGTTTGACATAAACTGTCACTGTGAAGCATCAAATTATTTGATATTCTAATCAAATTAATTATTTCTGGTTTGGCTTTTTTTAAGTTGATGATACAGGCTATGGTTTGGTTAATTTTTGGAGGACTTCTTTGCAGATCCCTTGGAAATAATCCTGTGGCAAGGCCCTGCTCTCTGAGAGGTGTGATGTTGTTTTGGGGACACAGAGAACAGGAGGATGAATGTCACTGTGTGGTGACAAAAAAAGCTGTGATCTAACCAGGCTGGGTGGGGGATACACAACTCTGTTTACTCCCCATTTAGAACAGAATTTTTTAAAAAAATCCAAACAAATAGAATTCTAAATGACAAACAGTATCATTGCAGTTAAATGATGGTTAATTATTTAAAATATAAAAAGTTATAAATACCCATTTGCTTTGGAATGTGGGTGTTAAAATGTGAAGATGCCTTAAGACTGGCATCTTAGTTTTCCAATATCATCTATAAAATTCTCTTTGAATTTATGTGCATTCAGAATTGGGCTCATCCCATGGGGAAAGAATATAAAACAGGAAAGTTGAGCTACAGCAATAAACCTGATGTATCTATAACTGCTATACACAGTTGTATTATAAAACATATGGATATTTTATAGACTGTAATATAGAGACTGATTCAAACCAGCTTTTTTACTTTGTAAGCTATGTTCAGAAAGTCATAAATACAGAAATTAGTGTAAGGAGGGAAAAAAATCATGTCCTTATAATATGTGTACTTTTCAGACTTGTGACATGCTTTATTTGATCAAATACCATTATATATAATCTTATTATTCACTAGCCAGGATTTCTGTTCAGTGTCTATTAAAGAACAGCCCTTCAAAGAAATTGGCTAGAACTAATAATAATCAGTATTCTAATTAAGAAGATTGTGACTAAGGGCACTCAAAGCATTTATTATGCATGTGAAAGGTAATACTGGGGAACAACTTCTGTATCTGAGCTTTTCAGGCTACATGTGCCTATCTTTGTTTTTCTGCAAATTTATTAAATGGTTGGGAAAAATTGTAGTAAGTAAAACCAAGTGTTTGTATATAGGTTTATGCTCAGACTTTCACTCATGTTTTTAAATTACTTGAATTTCTCAAAAATGTTTGCCTTCAGTCTTTCATTTTGGTTGATTTGTAGGATTTCTATGGCCACAACTCCTACACAATTCACACATTTCAATTCATTTATCCTTAAAGTGTCCCTACCAGACAGGGAGTTGATAATAAGGTCCATGCAGAGGAAAAGGAGTTCCTTAGAGAGGAATTCTCACCCTGCAGCTCAAGCAGAGAGGCAGATATGTGTGTGTGTGTGTGTGACTGTTGAAATTACTGAGCAAAAGCTGTTGTCAGCAAACAGGGAATGTAAACTGCAGAGATTTGCATGAATTAAGGTTTTCTGAGCTTGGTGGCTGGGGACAAGGGGGTTTTGTACCAGAGGAGAGGCTGATTCCCAACACTAAGAAGTGAAAACAACTGTGAAATAAAATCTGTGAGGTGGCTTTTTCTCTGGAATGTTATTTTAAATGTATTTTCTGCATCATGTGTCTCATTACAGATAATAGTGTGCCCATGTCTCAGCAGAAAGAAGGAAAAGCAATATACCACGTCAGTTGCTTCAATTTTAAAAGAAATTAAGAAAGGTCTGATTAGATGATGCTATTCAGTTATTTTGGTTATGTAAATGTTCTGAGTTAGTTCATCCCTTGTGAATAGTTTATTTAAAGCGTAATTGTTATAGGGAAAAATTTATTTTCTCTTGAGAAAGCTTCAATGAATTAGGAAGCTAAAGCTGAGGGTGTGATGGTCCCATTTCTGCAGAGCTGGGGCTGAGTGGCTCTGTTGAGGGCAGGATCCATCACTGGTTTGATCACACAGGAGGGTCCCAGCTTTCCCCTCTGCTGCCATAATCCAGAGTGCACTGGCTGAAAGCAAGCTCTCTGCAGGAAATGCCAGTGACCTGTTTAATCATACAAAGATTGTAACAATTAGGGTTTTAAATATTATAAGTGTCTCTGATCCCCATGAAGTATCAATGTGCTGATAGCCAAAAGCCTTGTGATAAGTGCCCAATGGTTTATCTGCTCTGGTTACAAGTTCTGAGTGTCCTGGGCTCTTCTCCTGCCTCTCAGCTCTGTCAGCCTGTGCTGTGTCACTGCCTCTCCCTCCTGAGGACTCTGAAAGGATGAGTGCTTCAACTGCTCTGTTTAACATTGCCCATTCTGGACCTTACCTTTCTCAGGGTCCATATTTGTGTTTGGGCTGGCTTAACTCAAGAAGAGCCTAAAGCAGAGCCTTGCTCAGGATGAGCTGTCACCCAGAGATGGCCTTTCAGCATCACTTGTTTTCTGGATGCAATCTTTTCCATCAACTATACTTAGCCCTGTGTTTTCCTGTGCTCTTCCGTTGCTGGCTGTCTTTGTTTCAGGAGCAGCAACAGTACCAATGTCACTCCAGTCCATGCAGGTAGCAGATTTTTATGGTTTTGATAGGCTTGGTTTATTTCATATCTATGATGGTGCTCAAGCATTCTAGTCTGAACACATTTTCATATGGTTCAACCAAGCATTAACTTTAATGGGCTGTTTTTCTGTAAGGGCTTTGAATTAAAATCATCTCTGTTTCCCTGGGGACTGCATGATAGCAACTACCTGCAGAACATCCTTAGCTGGGAATCTGCAAGCATGGATTCCCCTCTCCTGTGCAGGAGGAGCACTTTCTCCCTTATTCCTGGCTGAATAGTTGCTTCCAAATAAACACTGGGAAGCAAGGTTTGTTCAGCATTCAGCTTCATGTTCCAGTTTAGAGATTTAGCAAATGCAGACAGTGCCTGTCACTTCTTTCTGCATTAGAAAAGCCGGAGAGAAAGGAAACCCTACATCTCAGAGTGCCTCTCTTGATAACCCAGACCACCAGAGCACATTGATGGTCTTGGCAACTTGAGGCTCTTGCTCTTCCCTGAAACCCCAAATATTCCAGAGATAATTCTGCCTGCTGTGCCTGGGGAGGAGTTGGGTTCCTTGCCCTGTATTGTCAGTCAATTCTTACAGTTGTTCCCATATACTTGCCAAGGCTGGATTCATTTCTCCTTTGGTCAAGAACCTCTTCCCTGTCTGTCCTTTCCTCCAGAGAGGAGGAAAGTTGCACTCACTTGAGAGTATGCTCTACATGCTATGAGTTTACTTCTATTTTAAGATGCAAGTATATTCCATATTCTGATGCCAAAAGATTTTTACTTTTTATATATTTTTCATCTATTCCTAGCTCTGTAGACTCCTGTTGAATAGTTACATGGTTTCTCAGCTAGCATTCAATACTTTTCCAGTACTTGTTAGACAGACACATTCCTGGAATCCCATTCTAAACTCTCTTCAGTGAACCAAGGCCATTCTTCTACTTCCCCATGTGTGTGGACATGAACAATGTGAGGAGAAAGAGGGGAGGCTTCAGTAGGAGGCTGAACCCAGGGGGGAATTACTTCATTAACTATACTTTTAATTGGTTATTCTTGTCAATTATGCTAATTTGCTAAACTTATAAAAGTGTCATAGCCCTATATCACATGTGCATTTTGCCATAATTGCATCCTTCAATAAACAGTAACCACCTTTATCCTTTTAATCTTTGGCTTGTGATTTCAGGGCTCAGAAGGGCATCAATTCTAATTTGATTTTTCTGTGGCCTCAGGAAAACTTCAACTGATGCTTATTTTTAATGTCTTGTCAAAGTGAGATGTGTGTTAAGGCAGCTTGTGCTGCTTTACCTTCTGTGTTCCACTGTGTAGCAGAGCAGTCTGTGTGGGAGCTGCCTGACTTGATGGCAGTCCTCAGTTTTTCTTGGGTGTGCTCCCATTCCTCCATGCCATTTATCACTTCAGTGCCTTCATGGTGCAGGCAGACCCTCCTTTCTCAAATTGCTTTTTCCTTCAGTTGCTGCATGCTGCCTCATTTTCTGGGATGGACTATTACTGTTGGCCCTGCCTTGAAGTGGGCTGATGTGGAGAGAGATTGGAGAAGGAAATTATTGCTTGTTATTTCATTCCTATAGTTAACCTCAGAAACCTCATTTTGTCATGCAGCAGGATCAGGCTTTTTTTTTTTTTTTAATGGATTTTAGCTCATCTGAACAGCACTGATTCTCTCTCATGTTCCATCAATTCAAAAGGAAATTATATCACAAGGGTTTTTCTTTGCTCACTCATAAACATTGGAAAAAACTTGAATCCCTGTAAACTGGTAAGAGATCACATCTCATCAGGTTTCTTTTCATCATATACTGATTTAGTTTTCAGATCCATTATTTAATTTCTTTGCTTATTTTCTGAAAGAACAGTAAAAGGATAGTACTGATAGGATAGGAATAAATAGGTATTTGCTTTATATTTCCTCAGTTTTTCACTGAAAGAGAAGTGTCACACAATCATTTTACCTCACCACCTCCATATAAATGCTTCATCAATGCTACATTTAAAATACTGTGAAGTTGTCTAAGGCCAAAACCAAAAGAAAAGTGCCAATTTAAACAGAATCTTCTTAGATAATTTTTCCAGTGAGCTTGATTTGAGGGCATAATCTGAGGAGAGAATGCTCCCATTAATTAGTGGGAAGGAAGGCAAGCTAAAAAACTTGGAAGAGATTTTATTTCCTTTATGTTTTGTAACCTGTGCTCTGTGATGTTTTTCATTCAGTTTTAAATTAGTTATAAGGTGAGCACCATGTAATTTTCCAGTGTCTGTCAAATCTCAGAATGGACAATTTTTATCTTACAGGCCATGGAGCAGATGTGAAATGTGTTGACTGGCATCCCACCAAGGGATTAGTTGTTTCAGGAAGTAAAGATAGCCAACAGCCCATCAAGTTCTGGGATCCAAAGACTGGCCAGAGCCTTGCCACACTGTAAGTTCCTACCCACAGATTTTGTATTTGCTCAAATATAAACTAACTTTATAAAATAATTTTTCTTAATTCCTTTCTTAGCTCTTTTCCTCCCAACTTTTCAGTCGTACACAGTTGCTTTACACATGAAGCTGGTGCTTTAGCTTTGCCAGAAAATCCAGAGGTTAGGTGAGGACAAGTCCCTACCTGTAAAATTGAGACTTTAACATTTGTTATTTAAATTTGCTTTGTTCTTTTTCACAGTCAATTTAGCCACACAATTCTCATACAAACTGAGATAGGGAAAAATAAATGAGATGATGAAAACTTTGTTATGCTGCAGTAGAAATTGGATACTGTCTCAGTGAGTGCTAGCAGTTCCTTTGCAGTACAAAAGACCATGATCAGAGCAGAGGCCTTTGCACAGGAATCCCCAGTGTTCTGCTTTAGTAGCCTGAACTGCCTTGTTATTGACCTGAATATTGAATATTTGTGACTGGCAAACAACACATTTATATCTGTGTCTGAGACATCAGCTTCAGGACAAACAATCTGTTTGTTTCTCTCTGCTTGCAGGCATGCTCACAAAAACACAGTGATGGAGGTGAAACTGAATCTCAATGGCAACTGGCTGCTGACAGCTTCTCGGGACCACCTCTGCAAGCTCTTCGACATCCGCAACCTGAAGGAAGAGCTTCAGGTCTTCAGGGGGCATAAGAAGGAGGCCACAGGTCAGAATTCTTTTTATTATGTAGATTGTTATTATTAAGCTTAGATTTAAAATTAAAATTATTTCCATTTATTTGAAATCCTGGTATTCCGCCTTGTGATTGTGGCTTGCTGTGTGTTTCAGCTGTGGCCTGGCATCCTGTTCATGAGGGGCTCTTTGCCAGTGGAGGCTCCGATGGGTCCTTGCTCTTCTGGCATGTTGGGTATGTGGCATTTTCATCAGCATCTTGGGAAGGTGTTGGTCAGCTGTTCAAGCTGTTAGACAAAACATAAAATACCTCTTTTCCCCTTTAAGGTCTGTATTTAACCTGCATATTTGTGGTAATACTTCTTCTCTGTACCTGAGGAATTTGTTAATATGCTTCATTTATGAGGAAGTTTTCCTGTAGAAATGGACTTTAAAGGATACAGTTGCTCACACAAAACTAGCCATGTGTTTTGTGATGAAAGTTTGAAACTCCTAGTTTCTTAAAGCTTGTTCTGAGGTGCTGTAATTATTTTGGTTTTAAATGTACAATTAACAATCCCTACATTACTGAGCTGCCTATTAAAACCACAGGGAACAATCAGTTCACTCAGTAGAAAAATGACAAAGGCTTAAAATTAACAAAATATGGGATAGAGGATGAACAAAAACTGAACAGCAGAAGTTTTCTGTTGTAGCTGTAGGAGAGAGTCAGCTGTGTATGATTAATTTTTATTTTTTTAATGCATCAGGGTTGAGAAGGAGGTTGGTGGAATGGAAATGGCCCATGAAGGAATGATCTGGAGTCTGGCATGGCATCCCCTTGGACACATTCTGTGTTCAGGCTCAAATGATCACACCAGGTAATTTCAAGTATTTAAAGAGAAGGTCTGAGGGAACATATTTACTTTTAGAAACTAGAACAGTGTTTGGCATCAGTGAATAAATAGATTGGAATGGTTCTGTTACACAACCAGTGGCCAAAGAGAGACACAACTTATGTTAATAGGAAGCACTAGGTGACATTTTATATTATTACATGGTAGAGTCTGACCTCTTGTAACAAATATTATGATTTTGGTTGGTGGGAGCTTTTAAATCCACTGAAGAAAATTTTTAAAAAATAATACTTGTCATTTCTTGCTGAAGAAATACTCCTATCTCCACAGCAATTTCATCTGCTGGTCATGTCTTTTCACATTGCAGACACATTCAGAGGCTGTAGTTCGTGTTTTTAGGTTGGACATGCTATAAACACAGTGCATTTTATAAATGCAGTAAATTTTTGTGGGGGCATGTGCATATTTAGTGTATATGAATAATATACTTGAGCAAGAAGGTTTTGGAATGGACTAGAGATTTTTTTTTTCATCATTGATGTTGATGCCTTGTGCTTACACCCATTACACTTTGAAGTATCTTCTAAGTTGTGATATTGGGTTTTTTATTTTTGGCTTGAAGCTCATACCCTGTGTTCAGATCTAGACCTAAACTTGATTTATTAAGAGTTGAATCCTTACATAATCAAGATACCACACTAAAAATCAAAGAACTAATTCGATTAAAAGTTGTTCATGCTCTTGACCCTTTAATGAGATCATGTAACTTCCTTTTGACAGCAAGTTTTGGACTAGAAATCGGCCTGGAGATAAAATGCGAGATCGTTACAACTTGAACCTGCTGCCTGGGATGTCAGAGGATGGGGTGGAATATGGTGAGACATTTTTCCTCAATAGGGAAGGAGGAGGATTGGGGTCAGCAACAGGCCTAGGTCCTTAGGAAACACTTCTGGATAAGATGAGGAAGCAGAATTATAGCATTGGGGACCACTTGGGCAAAAATACCTTTTTCTAAGGATGGTTTTACTGCCTGTGGTATCAGTGATCATCATTCCAACAATGGGTTTTCTTCTGTTTCCACAGCTCCAGGAGGTAAGAGCTGCTCTGTCAGTCACAGGAAGGAGGTTTGGCTCTCCCTCTGGCATTATCTCCAGTTTCCTTTTCTTCCTGAAAACTTCATCTGTCTTCAAGGCTTCCCTTGCAACAGGAAAAGCAATAAGAGTTCTACTAAAGCCTTTAAACTTTACTCTTAAGGATTTATCCCAATAATTTTTGGCTGCTCAGGATTAACCAGTTAATGGTGTGCCTCAGCCACCTGTAGTTGCATGTTTCTTCAGATTTTTTATTATTTGTGGGGTTTTTTTTTCTTTTTGGGGGAGGGGGTATTAAAATGCAGCACTTTAATACAAGTTAAATTTTAAAATATGTAGATTTGTTATAACAAAAAAGGGACTGCTTATGGGTTACTACTTCTTTTTCTGAGCTTCTACCCTAAATAGAAGCTTCTACCCTAAATAACTTCTTTTACTGAGCTTCTACCCTAAATAATCTTCCTGAAAAGACATAGTTTTTGACCTTTTAGGGTGTATTTATAAATCTGAACTTGCAGTTCTTTGAATATCCTGTAATTCATACATGAAACTAAATTGTGACCTACTAGTTGTAAAATATCTATTTACTACTGGAGTATGATACCAATGGTAAAAGCTTGTGAGAATCTAAAAGGATAAAGTAGTAATGTAAAGAAATATTTTCCAATTATAAATATGTATTGGTTTTTTCTCTAGATGATCTGGAGCCCAACAGCCTTGCAGTCATTCCTGGGATGGGAATACCTGAACAGTTGAAAATAGCTATGGAGCAGGAGCAGATGGGTAAGTAATAGCTATGGAGAAGCATTCTCCTGAGCAATCCAGATCTGTGGGACTTCTTTTTCATTCTTTTCAAATTCTCTGTGAGCACAGATGCTCTTATCCAAAGTTCTGTGTTGTTCATATTTGCTTTGTAAAGAAGGATGAGCTGAAAATCTCTGTGAAAAAAATAAAGGATCTTTGTGTAAGCCTGCATTGCTCTGACTGTTTGTTTCCCTGGTGCCAAAGGGAAAGATGAGTCCAATGACATTGAGATGACAATCCCAGGACTGGATTGGGGAATGGAGGAAGTAATGCAAAAGGACCAAAAGAAAGTGCCACAGAAAAAAGTTCCCTATGCAAAACCAATACCAGCACAGTTTCAGCAGGTAAGTACCTGATACAGAGGGAACAGAACAACCTGTTCTTTTCCCAGCTTCAAAAAGTGGGTGTCTTTTGAAATGTTTTGGATTTTACAGCTCTCCTGTATCAACACCCTATGCAATGTACCACAGTAGCTAGTTTAATTACTATTTAAACATAAAATATTGGATTAAATAAGATAAGGAAGTTTTATTCAGCATTGTTTTTACTTTCAAGTATCCATACTACAAAATATTTCAGCATATCCCTTCATCCTTTCTCATTGCAACAATGTGTTGCACACATGTTGTTCTACAGAATTAATCTTGTGTTTCCTGGTCTTTGTAGGCATGGATGCAAAACAAAGTTCCTTTGCCTCCCCCACCTGAGCCATTGAATGATAGAAAGGAGGATATTAAGCTGGAGGAGAAGAAGAAATCACAGGCAGAGATTGAGCAGGAAATGGCAGCACTTCAATACACAAACCCACAGCTCCTGGAGGTATGTATGTGTGGAAACACAGGGATTAATAAGTTTGCTTCAGTCCTTTCTGTGACAGATTTGGACTTCACTAAAGTGAGCAGCTTCCTGCAGCAATTTCACCTGTTTGCCTGTTTTCACTTTTTACAAAAAGACATCTAATTGAACAGGATATTGCACTTTATGTGTGATGATGTGAATTTCTCAATGAGGCCCCCACATCTCACTTTACCAGTGGGTCTCTTCAGTTGGTGATTTCTGTTAATTACAAGGAAAACATTCTTAAATTCCTGTGAAATGGGATGACTTTTTCTGATTTTTAGTTGTAACATACCTCTGTGCTTAATTGATTTTCTGTCTCTCTTTTTTGGACAGCAACTGAAGATTGAGAGACTTGCACAAAAGCAAGCTGAGCAAGTGCAGCCACCACCTCCAGGTGGATCTCTCCATGGACCTCAGCCTTTCCCAGGGCAAGGCCCAATGTCACAGATGCCTCAAGGCTTTCAGCAGCCCCTTCCACCTCAGCAGATGCCAATGAATATGCCTCAGATGGGACCTCCTGGCCCACAAGGACAGTTCAGACCTCCTGGACCCCAAGGACAAATGGGACCTCAAGGTCCATTACACCAAGGAGCTGGAGGTCCACAAGGGTTCATGGGACCACAGGGACCTCCAGGCCCCCAGGGGCCTCCACAAGGAATGCCAAGGCCTCAGGATTTACACGGACATCAAGGAATGCAGAGACACCCGGGCCCTCACGGGCCCATGGGGCCCCCAGGCCCACAGGGCAGTGCTGGCCCTCAGGGGCACTTGGGACCGCAGGGCCTGCCCGGCTCCCAGACTCATTTAGGACCACAGGGCCCACCTGGCCCACAAGGTCACCTGGGTCCTCAGGGTCCCCCTGGAGGTCAAGGAATGCAGGGCCCACCTGGCCCACGAGGAATGCAAGGACCTCTTCCTCACGGCATGCAAGGAGCTCCGGGATCCCAAGGCATGCAGGGCCCTATATCTCAAGGGCCTTTGATGGGACTTAATCCAAGAGGGATGCAGGGTCCGCCAGGACCCAGAGATAACCAGGGACCTAATCCACAAGGGATGATGATGGGTCATCCACAAGAAATGAGAGGTCCTCATATGCAAAGTGGTTTACTAGGACACGGTCCCCAGGAGATGCGGGGCCTTCAGGGACCCCCGCCTCAAGGTTCGATGCTGGGACCGCCACAAGAAATGCGTGGGCCACCAGGTCCCCAGGGCCAGCAGGGACCTCCACAGGGCTCCATGGTGGGGCCTCAAGGAAACATGCAAGGACCTCAGGGACAGCCAAACCCTTCGAGGGGGCCACACCCTTCCCAGGGCCCTCTGCCCTTCCAGCAGCAGAAAACGCCTCTGTTGGGGGATGGGCCTCGCCCCCCCTTCAGCCAGGTACGTGGGGGTCTCTGGAACAAGGGCAGCTCTCAGAAGGTGGGAGTGATAACTG